AGTCCAAAATAAAAAGAAAAAAGAATTTTGAGGGATAAATTTTTCACTAATATTTACTTCTTATTTGAATAATAAATATATTTATTTATTTATTTTATTGTATTATCAGTACAGTGGGTGACTTTATCGCTCGTTAAATTAATTTTAAAAGTTACTAACCGCTCCAAAACTGTAAATTTTATTTTTTTTTTCACAATCTAATTTAATTCTACAACATATTAAAACGTTTTTTAATAAAATTTTTAACTTGAAAAACTTTATTTTTGTTGTTATATCTTCATGAGTTTTCGAACTTATCTCTTATCAAAATTTGTGAAGCTGTAACAAAAAAGGGGAGTAGAAATTGATATGGAAAGCGATGAATAGAATCGAGAAGGAGATGTCACTTTTAACCAGATAAGAAATGTCAAAGTAACTTCGTTCAAAATATATCAGACGAAATGTCTCAGATGGTTTGGCCAAATGCATCCTTTCAGAACAATCAAAACTCTTGAAAACCTCATTTCTTAAGATTTTATAGCAGGAAAAAAGTGAAATAAAAAAATATTTTTCCTTAAATTTCTCTTCTTCTATCGATTTTCTCATTATATATTTTATTTCTTAATTAGTTACAATTGAAATTAATTTTTAAAATAATAATAATAATAATAATAATAATAATAAATAAAAATTCTAAATTTACTGCTTGTATATTTAGAATATATTATACTTAATCACACTTAAGTAGATTTTAAGCGTTGTTAAGAATCTAATTAAATTTATAAGTCATTAGCTGAAGTACCGGTTTTATGTATATATAAAAAATATTTTGCATCTAAATTTATTCTAAATAGCTTGAGAAGGATACGGCCGTTTTAACGTAATGTTCGAACGGACAGGCAGACGGACGTTAATTGAAAAATAGCCTATAACCTTTTTAACACTGTCCTGAATATATGTACGTAGTTTGATAGAAATTGGTTCAGCCATTCTCATGTGACACTCGAACAAACGGGCAGACAGAACGTCAAACGTAATTCCAATTTTATATACAGTAGATAAGCTGTATACGTAAAAGCTTGAAATTCTTTAATCCGTATAACAAATTTGACACTTTTATTTACTTTTTAACTGTATAATTATGTATTTTTTAATAAATTAAGATAAAACAAGCAATTACCTTATTGTGATATTGTTACAATGCTCTCTATTTTAGCAGTCTTGCCCCTGTACATCATACTTTTCCTGTTAGCAATAGAGTCATGCCTGTCATCTATCTAACTTCGTTCTCGAGATTAAGGAAGGACAGACAGGCAGACAGCTAGTGGGAATTTATAGGTCTACAATTTTTCAAATTGAAATCCAATAAACTTAAACTTAAGAATTAAAGAGGGAGTGAGTGTAAATGAGGTTGGCACTTCAAAGATCTTTCTGCGATTGTCTACTTTTTACTTTTCCGGCTGTTATATGTAAAAGAGGGAAAGCATGGCAGTCGGTCAACAAATGGTCACCCAAGAGTTTTACATTTTTGGACTCAGAGGTCCTTGAAACGTCGAGAAATGCAAAAAAATTGGGGGGATTTTTCTGTATGTATGGAAGTTAGTGAGTGTGTGGGGGGGCACGATTTTGTTCAACCTCTTTGAAGCTCAATAACTCTTGCGTTTTTTGTGGAAAATTTCTGAAATTTGGCAGGGTGGTTTATGTATTAGGAGGATTGATTCAATTAAATTTTGGTTGTTAAAGGTCGACGGAGTGAGGAGATAAAGAAGACCATGTGTACTTCTAGTACAGTCGGAATTAATGACGAGTTTACTCGTTATTAGCATTTACAATTCTTTATAAAACCCACTTCACCTTGAAAATTAAGCTTTTAACCATTTTATAATAGTTAAAAATATAAAAAGCTTTATAAATATCATAAGAGGTGGTGCCATCAACTGTTGCCGGAAAACTTAAGTAACTCGCTGCTGGATTTTTTAAACCATGTCTTTTTACATCTTTAATTATTTTATTAAATTAAATCTATTTTAAATTTTTTCAGGCGTGACGTCATACCAATTGTCTTAGGAGCCAAGCCAGAAGACTACAGGAGGAGCGCACCATACCATTCGTACATCCACGTGGAAGACTTTGATACACCCAAAGACTTAGCCGAATATTTAATGATCTTAGATAAAAATGATACACTTTACAATGAATATTTTCGATGGAAAGGAACCGGAGAATTTGTTAACACATACTTTTGGTGCAGATTATGTGCAATGTTACACGCCCCACCACAGCCAAAAGTCTATAGAGACATGCACGCTTGGTGGTCAGGTGCAGGGACTTGTACCAGTGGAAGCTGGAAAAAATCAGTAGAAAAAAAACCCGATAGCGGTTGAAATTTATAATTAATAGTCTTTAAAATTTAATTTCTATAAAATCACTTTTTTACAAACAAAAAAATAATAACAACAAAAAACAAAATAATTATATATATATATAAATGTATATCTTCTCCGCTTGTCTTTCAGATAAATATTTATATAAAAATATGAAAAAAAATTAGGTTTGAAACGAAGAGTAATGAGATAAGAACTTAAATAATTACCTTAATAATAATTACAGTGATACCTCGGAACTCGAACTCCAGAACATTTCGAGTTCCAGAAGCAATTTTTTTTCACGTAAGGAACAATTAATCCGTTCCCAAATGCTTATTTTAATCATAATTTAGGCTAAAATAACACAATTAAATGCCCTAATTAATGCATGAAACAATGAAAAATAATCATAATAATGGATTAAAAACACTAAAACGTAGTGTAAATAATGCAGTAGGTAGAAGTGTCCCAAATTCGTATCAAGGGATTTTTTATTATTTTTAGCCCAAAATTAAAATTAACTCAATCTCGTAACACTGCAGCGTCACGTGCAAATATCATATACCTTTCAGAATGGCCGTTTTTGTGTTCAAATTCCAAAAAAAGTTGGGGAAAATTTCCTCGAAGAAATTCGGATTTCAACTTGTTCGATTTCTGGAACGTTTGAGTTCCGAGGTACCACATATATTAATTAGCTTATTAATCAATTTTACAGTTTTTAATAAGCATAAATTGCCATTAAATCGAACAAATATTTAAGGAAAAAAATCAAACTTATCGTTCGATAAAATAATATATATTATCAATTTGATAAGGGAAGAAAATCTCGCATCATTATCACCCATTTTTATTTAATATATATGATATTTGATACGAGAAAAAAATTTTATTTATTTCCTTTATTTGTAATGTGCTAACATTAGAAATTATTTATGTCTAAACTAGATAAAAAATTCCTTCTTACATTCATTTACTATTATTTTTTCAAGTTCATACACAAATATTTCAGCTTGAAACGTTTATATCAAGCCATCCAGTTGTAAAAAAAAATCATATAAAATTACAAAATTTACACATTTTTCAATAGAAAATAATTTTAAATATTTAAAAATATTGACTTAATCTTTGTCCTTTTTTTAAAGGTTAATTATATAAACTTTTTAAGCTAAAAAAATTCGATAATTTGCCTGGAATTTCTATATTTAATTAAAAAAATGGAGAAAAATTTCTATTTAATTTTCTCTAAATTACACGCGATTTAATTTTATAAACACGCGAAATTCCTTGTTAATTTTGGATAAATTGTCGAGCAATTATGTAGAAAGTAGACTTATAAATCTACATAATTTTGGGTCTAAATAAATTATCAAAATATGAAAATTTCACATTCTTTCCATAATATAGCATGAACGTTACTATAGTTACACATTGGACAATAGGAAACAACAGCTGCAAGCATTGAAATCATCCATCTGGTGCTTGGAGTCTGAAGTAAATGAGTTATTATAAGGTATTGTGACGTGGAAAATCTACTTCAAAGTACTCTATTGATTATCTTACGGAAGGAATAATATTATTCAGAGGAATAGAATGCTTTTTCTATACGATATTTATGTCGAAAGAACAAGAAATTAGTGATTTTATTATTAATTTATTCTAATAACCGTGATGAATATAATCACGGTTCTTAATTTATTTAATTTATAACACATTCGAGAGCACATCAAATAGCTTAAATGGGAAGTTTATAAAGTTTTATACTGTGAATAATTTATTGTAAGGTCGCGTAGATGTCGATATATTTTCAGTTTTGGAAAGGAATATGTATGGATGGTTCCATTTCACTTATAATAAAGTTTATAGCTTCCTTTCAATTGAGTATTTGGAACGTCTAGGGGTCCAAAAGTGAGGTGTTAGCTATCTCCTCCTAATGCTATCTTCTTAGAATCATTCTCATCCATCTTATCCTGTTTTTATGAAAGTTTTCCATTTGCTATCTTTTATTTCCTTTTTTTTTGGAAATAAAAAAAGAATATTTACTGTTAAAATACAGTAAAACTTGTTTATGATGTCCATTAATATTATAAAGTTTATCTAGTTTATTAAATATAGATAAATTAAGTTACTTTTTTCGTCGCTACATCGTTATATACCAATTTTACTGTATTTATATGAAGTGCAGTGTATATTTTAGATGAATATGTTTGTATATTTGTAAGTTTGTAAACTATTTTGTCACTAATTGTGGTATGAAAGCGTCTTCTAAATTGTTTGATAAGGATTTCAAAAAAGATGTCGTGTCTTTTCACTCCGCAGTAATTAAAATGAACAGGAAGATATTCATAACTTACGAAGAATTAGAGAGATTTATTCAATAAAATTTTATATTCTGGCTTGTACAGTACGAAATGTACAGATTTCAGAACTTTAACGACCATAAAACTTGTAATAAAAGCCATAAGATTTATCTATTCTACCCTTTAGAAAATACGAATGATACATAAATAGACGTTTCCATTTTACATTAATGAGCTTTAAACCTAATCCTTCATTTCATAATCCTTTTATAAAAAAGATCTCCAACGATTTATTTGATGTATAAATTTCATTTTAATGCTCTGAAGTGTAAAAACTTTATTCACAATCATCATTTCTCTGCTCTCTCCATTTGTTTCTTATCAAAGGAAAAAAATAATATATATTACATTTGTTACGGTAGTTTATTACATCCAACTGTTTTATCGCTTAGAAATGTCACCTTTTTTTTCTGCCACTGTAATAATATTTTCCCTGTATTCTTTTTCAAAACCGCCATGACGACGATTTTTGCTAATGGATGTTACGCCTGCACTTGTAGCTTCACCGTAGCAACAAGGAGTCGTGCAGGAAAGAGCACACTTCAGGGACTCTAAGCATTCGATATCGATTTCCAAGCTGCATTTTGTGATTGTAGATAACATTTAATAGCTTTGGAGAAACTGTGATGACTGAAGGAATTTAAATTTATTGTATTTTGTTCCAATGAAAATGTTATTTTATGGATATTTAGCGAGGAGGATTGTAATAAGAAAGTCTATATTTATTGTATAGGGTCATATAAATATATATGTCCTGTGAAAGAAAAGGTGTCAAAAAAAGAAATAAAAAAATAATGTAAATATATATGTCGAGGTTTATTCTCGAAATTCTGTGATGTCGATAAGAAAGATGTATTTAGAATTAGAAGAATAAATTAATTTAGAAATGATTCATTGAATTGTTTAATTATTAAGCTTATGTCTTTAAAAATTTATATTTTGATTATTTTTATTTAAATAAACATTTTAAATAACTTAAAATTATCATAAAAATTGATTTAATTATTCGTTTTACTCGTTTAGAATTTCTCCTAATTATCAATTTCTTAATTAATTAATGATTTTTTTTATTTAATATAAATTAAATAAATAAAAATATTTTGGAGTATTTTATAATATTTCTTAAATAATTCAAATTTCATTTATTAACTTTAAAATGCAAATTGATATTTTTACATAGAAAATGAATAAATTTCATCGGAAATTCCAATCAAAAAGTCGAATAATAAATAAAGTTTACTTTATTTCTTAAAAATTGTAGGCCCTAAGTAAAATAAAATTGTTTTGAATTTCTGATTAAACAAAATATCGAAAAATATTTAATCAAATTTAATATTTGACGTCTGAAAATTATTAATTTCTTATATAAATTGCATAAATTTTACTTGAACTATTTCTATTTCAAAATTGAAATTCCTTTACTTTGAGATAAAAGATGCAAATACTTTTAATATAAGTTGTTAGAAAGGAAATTTATTTTTATTTAAAAATTATAAAATATAAGAATTTAATGAATATTATATCATCATAATTGATTTCAAAAGACAAGTATAGCTGTAGTATGCAGAGGAGAAGAGATATCGATCATATTTTAGCATCCTCTCTTCTATTCACAATACAAACTTAATTTTCTTAATTGATCGTGAAACAATATTTACTGTGATTCCAATCGAAATATATTTAATTTAAGTTTTCATTTTTATAATTTAGCAAATGCAAAAATAATTTTTGCATATAAATATAATCATTACTATAAAAAAATTTTAGCGTTAAAGAAAATAATTTATGTATTCAATCCTTTCACCTTTCGTTTATTTATAAGTTCGCTGATTTTTTTTCCAAAAATTTTCTAAATATTTCACTTAGAGAAGTGAAATTTCCAAAATTTATGATATTATATTATGATTAATGTATTAAAGATGCTGGAAAGAGTGTAGCATGCTTCCATCCATCTAGCATCAGTATATAAGATACTCTCCTTCCAGCATCCTTTTATCCGTTCAGCATCCAATATATATACAAGATACATTCCTTCCAGCATCCTTTTATCCTTAGCATCTAGTATATAAGATATATTCCTTCCAATATCTATCCAGCATCCTTAATCAATAAAAACGAACTTTTTCTGAAAAAAATTAAGCACAGTTGTTAGTAATTATCTTAAACAATATCTAGAAAATTTTCCGAATAATTCGTGTTTATAGATAAACTTTCACTTAATTTAACAAGAAAACATATTTAATTTTTTCCCGTAAAATTAAATAAAACTGCATTAAAATGAATGCGAATTAACATTATTTTTTATTTATAAAAACATTTTATTAGATAAATATTAACTTCATAAAAGATATAAAAACTAAACAGAAATTAATTAAAAATTAAAATCACATTTTTATACTAAAATTTCACTTCAAATATCTAAGATTTTATTCAATTTTATGATTAAAATTCTTTGGAAAAAATAATAAAATTATTTTTAATTCTAATTTTGAATATTTTATAAGAAAAAAAAAATTAAAAAATAATCCTTGAAACACCTCTTAATAGAGAACTATTTATCTATTAATTAATGTTTTAAGATAGAAAATCTGCAGTTGATATTCGTGATTTTATATATGGAAAGAAATATCCTGATTAACTGACTTTTGGACCACCTCACCTATTCAAAGCGGAACATGAATAAAACAGAAAGTTTTTTTAATGTTAAAAATAAACCTGTTTAAAACGGAAACTTGACAAACATTCGGTACTGCGTGTGATTCCGGCTTACACAGATTTTACTGTATTTTATCTCGTTACACTAAGAAGAGCTATAAGCTATAAATATGTTTTTATATTTGAATTGCATTGTTAGAAAGGCGCAAACGTCACAAGAGATCAATCACCCTCAAAAATTCTGGGGGACGAGAAAACGAAGAGAGAAAAGAGCTTAAATGAAGAACTTGCAAGATAAAATTAATATAATTAATTTAAATTACTTTTAGACGTCATTAAAATTAGTTTAAATTACTCAGCGAGTGTCCAAAATTATAATTTTTACTTTTATACTTGTTTCATTTCGTTTCTGCTTTGTTATTTAGTAGAATCTGTAAATAAATCTAATTAAATTACACGATTCTGCCTTCGAATCTCATCAAGTGAATGATTATTAACAGCAACCTCTTTGCTTTATTAACAGAACAAAGTTGGACCGTCATTTGAGGTCGTAACCCCTGAATGGGGACCTCAACCTTTTGATTCGTTTCCAATCGGGAGGGTTTTCAATTAAATTCTCTGACGTCACTGTGGTATGTAATCATTACGAGTAACGTCATCGGTAAATATGGTAAACTTATGAGGCTCTACTGACTCCACAAGACCGCGAGAGATATGCTATAAATTATAACATGAGTAGCCTGCAGAAGGCACGTGAGTAGACATCTCGCAACCTCTGATAATCCCCTCATCCATGGAGCATCTGAATAAAAGATGGAGCATGATGCACGTGACTGATACTTCCCACATTCCCCTGTTTACGTAAATTAAACATTATCTGGCCTTCTATAATTTACATATAATTTATAATTTAATAAATAAGCCATCGTCCAAGTAACAGTATAACCTGTGTAAATCGGAATCATTCCCTTCCGTATAATTTTTCGTTTTATTTGGGTTTCGTTTTAGGCAGGTTTCACCGTAAAGACGACNGGCGGTCACGTGTCGTATCTCTATCGTATCCAATGGTGTCATTAGTTTTTACAATTTTTTAAATAAAATTGATGTCATTTAATAATATAATTTTTTAAAAAAATCTCATAACAGATGGCACAACGTATAATGTTAAATTTTGTGTCCGGAAAAGTTACTCAACTCTGTTACATAATTTTATTATTATTATTTTTTGTAGATTAATTTCAGGCAAGGGATTAATGGATTCGCTAATTAAGTAACGTTTAAACTAGGTTTAAAATTAATCTGAATTTAATTTTATTGTACAAAATGATAATTTAAGTTTTAATTTAAAATTTTTTATCGTCAAAAAGTTTTTAAAATATTTGATTTATTTGTATTTGGAAATTGTAAAACTCTCCTATTCGAAGTATCTTTACTTAGTGTAAATATCGGCGCATAGAAAATAAATAGTAAGAAACAAGCTTCTTGCTTCGAAAAAAAATCAAGAAAAAATGAAGGGAAAAAAATATATAAAATGTTTGTCGAGAAAATACCGAATTCCATCTTTTATAAGATGAAAATAGAAAAGAATCTTGTTGCAAAAATATATATTTTTACTGTGAATTGATTTTCCCCCTCTTATATTTATTTTTTTATTTACTTTTTCCTTTTTTTCTTCAAAAATTATATTTTTCAACTGTAATTTATTGAATTTTCAACTTTTATAACATTTAATAATTTTTAAAAATAAAATTCAGCTGATATTTTCTTTTCCAAACAGTCAATATAATTAAATTATTATAGCTATAACAATAATACATTTCTATTTATTTAGTAAATATTATTATTAAACGAAAGAGCCTTTATTATCTACAGAAAAAACCTGTCTAAAACGGACTTGAATAAAACGAAAACCTGCTAAACCAGTAACGTGAGATTCCGGTTTACACAAGTTTTACTGAATTTAAGTTATAAGATTATAATTTGTTAATTATGTAAAGTTTTTCCTGGAGAATTATTTTTTAAATGGAGAAAAAGTAAGGTTTTAATATTAAATAATTTAGTTTTAGAAGATAGAATTTTATTATTTAAAAAAAAAATTAAGATTAGAAACAATCAGAATTTTTACTTTCTTTCTTTTTCCCAAAGGGACAAAGCACATCTCTTCATTCCATGATAAAAAGATAATGTAGGATGAGTGGATTTTAGAGCATCCCTCCAGCATCCTCATCAATTTGACAGAGTGTTTTTACTTCAAATATCTAAATAGAATATTCTTGTATTGAAAAAAAAATTACTTTTAAATCATTTCATTAAACATAATACAAGCTTTAGTTCTCTTTTAATAGCAATTTCTTCTTTATTTTATTGTTGAAAGTGGAAAAAATTGTGAAATAAGTAGTTAAAAGTTTGAAAATAAAGCGAATCATTAGAAAAAATTGTTAAAAAATTACATTTTTTATAGGATTTTTTCTAAAATTGCTTATTTTAAATATAATTTTAGATTCAATTATTAAAAAATACAGCAACGAGTTGCGTAACTTTCTCGGCGAGAATACTTAAAATTGAGTATGGTTCCGTTTGTTACCAGAGTTTATTAAAAATTATATATTATTAATTATTATAAAATGAAAAAAGCTTAATTTTAGGGTATAGATGAATTTTATAAACTATTGGAAATGCTAATAACAAGTATAATCGTCATTAAGTACGATCCAACTCGAGTTATGACCTCTTCTATCTCCCCACCCCCTTGACCTTTAACTACCAAAATTTAATAGCAAGAAGGCCGTTAACTTTCAATCCTCTATGCAAAATTTCAGAAGTTTTCTACAATAGGAACAGAAGTTATATTAAGCTTCAAATTCAAATTGGGTGAATAAAATTATGCCCCTCTAAACACAAGCACATATATATAGGGAAAAATCCTTAAATTTTGCATTTCTTAACTTTTTAGTCCAAAATAAAAAGAAAAAAAGAATTTTGAGGGATAAATTTTTCACTAATATTTACTTCTTATTTGAATAATAAATATATTTATTTATTTATTTTATTGTATTATCAGTACAGTGGGTGACTTTATCGCTCGTTAAATTAATTTTAAAAGTTACTAACCGCTCCAAAACTGTAAATTTTATTTTTTTTTTCACAATCTAATTTAATTCTACAACATATTAAAACGTTTTTTAATAAAATTTTTAACTTGAAAAACTTTATTTTTGTTGTTATATCTTCATGAGTTTTCGAACTTATCTCTTATCAAAATTTGTGAAGCTGTAACAAAAAAGGGGAGTAGAAATTGATATGGAAAGCGATGAATAGAATCGAGAAGGAGATGTCACTTTTAACCAGATAAGAAATGTCAAAGTAACTTCGTTCAAAATATATCAGACGAAATGTCTCAGATGGTTTGGCCAAATGCATCCTTTCAGAACAATCAAAACTCTTGAAAACCTCATTTCTTAAGATTTTATAGCAGGAAAAAAGTGAAATAAAAAAATATTTTTCCTTAAATTTCTCTTCTTCTATCGATTTTCTCATTATATATTTTATTTCTTAATTAGTTACAATTGAAATTAATTTTTAAAATAATAATAATAATAATAATAATAATAATAAATAAAAATTCTAAATTTACTGCTTGTATATTTAGAATATATTATACTTAATCACACTTAAGTAGATTTTAAGCGTTGTTAAGAATCTAATTAAATTTATAAGTCATTAGCTGAAGTACCGGTTTTATGTATATATAAAAAATATTTTGCATCTAAATTTATTCTAAATAGCTTGAGAAGGATACGGCCGTTTTAACGTAATGTTCGAACGGACAGGCAGACGGACGTTAATTGAAAAATAGCCTATAACCTTTTTAACACTGTCCTGAATATATGTACGTAGTTTGATAGAAATTGGTTCAGCCATTCTCATGTGACACTCGAACAAACGGGCAGACAGAACGTCAAACGTAATTCCAATTTTATATACAGTAGATAAGCTGTATACGTAAAAGCTTGAAATTCTTTAATCCGTATAACAAATTTGACACTTTTATTTACTTTTTAACTGTATAATTATGTATTTTTTAATAAATTAAGATAAAACAAGCAATTACCTTATTGTGATATTGTTACAATGCTCTCTATTTTAGCAGTCTTGCCCCTGTACATCATACTTTTCCTGTTAGCAATAGAGTCATGCCTGTCATCTATCTAACTTCGTTCTCGAGATTAAGGAAGGACAGACAGGCAGACAGCTAGTGGGAATTTATAGGTCTACAATTTTTCAAATTGAAATCCAATAAACTTAAACTTAAGAATTAAAGAGGGAGTGAGTGTAAATGAGGTTGGCACTTCAAAGATCTTTCTGCGATTGTCTACTTTTTACTTTTCCGGCTGTTATATGTAAAAGAGGGAAAGCATGGCAGTCGGTCAACAAATGGTCACCCAAGAGTTTTACATTTTTGGACTCAGAGGTCCTTGAAACGTCGAGAAATGCAAAAAAATTGGGGGGATTTTTCTGTATGTATGGAAGTTAGTGAGTGTGTGGGGGGGCACGATTTTGTTCAACCTCTTTGAAGCTCAATAACTCTTGCGTTTTTTGTGGAAAATTTCTGAAATTTGGCAGGGTGGTTTATGTATTAGGAGGATTGATTCAATTAAATTTTGGTTGTTAAAGGTCGACGGAGTGAGGAGATAAAGAAGACCATGTGTACTTCTAGTACAGTCGGAATTAATGACGAGTTTACTCGTTATTAGCATTTACAATTCTTTATAAAACCCACTTCACCTTGAAAATTAAGCTTTTAACCATTTTATAATAGTTAAAAATATAAAAAGCTTTATAAATATCATAAGAGGTGGTGCCATCAACTGTTGCCGGAAAACTTAAGTAACTCGCTGCTGGATTTTTTAAACCATGTCTTTTTACATCTTTAATTATTTTATTAAATTAAATCTATTTTAAATTTTTTCAGGCGTGACGTCATACCAATTGTCTTAGGAGCCAAGCCAGAAGACTACAGGAGGAGCGCACCATACCATTCGTACATCCACGTGGAAGACTTTGATACACCCAAAGACTTAGCCGAATATTTAATGATCTTAGATAAAAATGATACACTTTACAATGAATATTTTCGATGGAAAGGAACCGGAGAATTTGTTAACACATACTTTTGGTGCAGATTATGTGCAATGTTACACGCCCCACCACAGCCAAAAGTCTATAGAGACATGCACGCTTGGTGGTCAGGTGCAGGGACTTGTACCAGTGGAAGCTGGAAAAAATCAGTAGAAAAAAAACCCGATAGCGGTTGAAATTTATAATTAATAGTCTTTAAAATTTAATTTCTATAAAATCACTTTTTTACAAACAAAAAAATAATAACAACAAAAAACAAAATAATTATATATATATATAAATGTATATCTTCTCCGCTTGTCTTTCAGATAAATATTTATATAAAAATATGAAAAAAAATTAGGTTTGAAACGAAGAGTAATGAGATAAGAACTTAAATAATTACCTTAATAATAATTACAGTGATACCTCGGAACTCGAACTCCAGAACATTTCGAGTTCCAGAAGCAATTTTTTTTCACGTAAGGAACAATTAATCCGTTCCCAAATGCTTATTTTAATCATAATTTAGGCTAAAATAACACAATTAAATGCCCTAATTAATGCATGAAACAATGAAAAATAATCATAATAATGGATTAAAAACACTAAAACGTAGTGTAAATAATGCAGTAGGTAGAAGTATCCCAAATTCGTATCAAGGGATTTTTTATTATTTTTAGCCCAAAATTAAAATTAACTCAATCTCGTAACACTGCAGCGTCACGTGCAAATATCATATACCTTTCAGAATGGCCGTTTTTGTGTTCAAATTCCAAAAAAAGTTGGGGAAAATTTCCTCGAAGAAATTCGGATTTCAACTTGTTCGATTTCTGGAACGTTTGAGTTCCGAGGTACCACATATATTAATTAGCTTATTAATCAATTTTACAGTTTTTAATAAGCATAAATTGCCATTAAATCGAACAAATATTTAAGGAAAAAAATCAAACTTATCGTTCGATAAAATAATATATATTATCAATTTGATAAGGGAAGAAAATCTCGCATCATTATCACCCATTTTTATTTAATATATATGATATTTGATACGAGAAAAAAATTTTATTTATTTCCTTTATTTGTAATGTGCTAACATTAGAAATTATTTATGTCTAAACTAGATAAAAAATTCCTTCTTACATTCATTTACTATTATTTTTTCAAGTTCATACACAAATATTTCAGCTTGAAACGTTTATATCAAGCCATCCAGTTGTAAAAAAAAATCATATAAAATTACAAAATTTACACATTTTTCAATAGAAAATAATTTTAAATATTTAAAAATATTGACTTAATCTTTGTCCTTTTTTTAAAGGTTAATTATATAAACTTTTTAAGCTAAAAAAATTCGATAATTTGCCTGGAATTTCTATATTTAATTAAAAAAATGGAGAAAAATTTCTATTTAATTTTCTCTAAATTACACGCGATTTAATTTTATAAACACGCGAAATTCCTTGTTAATTTTGGATAAATTGTCGAGCAATTATGTAGAAAGTAGACTTATAAATCTACATAATTTTGGGTCTAAATAAATTATCAAAATATGAAAATTTCACATTCTTTCCATAATATAGCATGAACGTTACTATAGTTACACATTGGACAATAGGAAACAACAGCTGCAAGCATTGAAATCATCCATCTGGTGCTTGGAGTCTGAAGTAAATGAGTTATTATAAGGTATTGTGACGTGGAAAATCTACTTCAAAGTACTCTATTGATTATCTTACGGAAGGAATAATATTATTCAGAGGAATAGAATGCTTTTTCTATACGATATTTATGTCGAAAGAACAAGAAATTAGTGATTTTATTATTAATTTATTCTAATAACCGTGATGAATATAATCACGGTTCTTAATTTATTTAATTTATAACACATTCGAGAGCACATCAAATAGCTTAAATGGGAAGTTTATAAAGTTTTATACTGTGAATAATTTATTGTAAGGTCGCGTAGATGTCGATATATTTTCAGTTTTGGAAAGGAATATGTATGGATGGTTCCATTTCACTTATAATAAAGTTTATAGCTTCCTTTCAATTGAGTATTTGGAACGTCTAGGGGTCCAAAAGTGAGGTGTTAGCTATCTCCTCCTAATGCTATCTTCTTAGAATCATTCTCATCCATCTTATCCTGTTTTTATGAAAGTTTTCCATTTGCTATCTTTTATTTCCTTTTTTTTTGGAAATAAAAAAAGAATATTTACTGTTAAAATACAGTAAAACTTGTTTATGATGTCCATTAATATTATAAAGTTTATCTAGTTTATTAAATATAGATAAATTAAGTTACTTTTTTCGTCGCTACATCGTTATATACCAATTTTACTGTATTTATATGAAGTGCAGTGTATATTTTAGATGAATATGTTTGTATATTTGTAAGTTTGTAAACTATTTTGTCACTAATTGTGGTATGAAAGCGTCTTCTAAATTGTTTGATAAGGATTTCAAAAAAGATGTCGTGTCTTTTCACTCCGCAGTAATTAAAATGAACAGGAAGATATTCATAACTTACGAAGAATTAGAGAGATTTATTCAATAAAATTTTATATTCTGGCTTGTACAGTACGAAATGTACAGATTTCAGAACTTTAACGACCATAAAACTTGTAATAAAAGCCATAAGATTTATCTATTCTACCCTTTAGAAAATACGAATGATACATAAATAGACGTTTCCATTTTACATTAATGAGCTTTAAACCTAATCCTTCATTTCATAATCCTTTTATAAAAAAGATCTCCAACGATTTATTTGATGTATAAATTTCATTTTAATGCTCTGAAGTGTAAAAACTTTATTCACAATCATCATTTCTCTGCTCTCTCCATTTGTTTCTTATCAAAGGAAAAAAATAATATATATTACATTTGTTACGGTAGTTTATTACATCCAACTGTTTTATCGCTTAGAAATGTCACCTTTTTTTTCTGCCACTGTAATAATATTTTCCCTGTATTCTTTTTCAAAACCGCCATGACGACGATTTTTGCTAATGGATGTTACGCCTGCACTTGTAGCTTCACCGTAGCAACAAGGAGTCGTGCAGGAAAGAGCACACTTCAGGGACTCTAAGCATTCGATATCGATTTCCAAGCTGCATTTTGTGATTGTAGATAACATTTAATAGCTTTGGAGAAACTGTGATGACTGAAGGAATTTAAATTTATTGTATTTTGTTCCAATGAAAATGTTATTTTATGGATATTTAGCGAGGAGGATTGTAATAAGAAAGTCTATATTTATTGTATAGGGTCATATAAATATATATGTCCTGTGAAAGAAAAGGTGTCAAAAAAAGAAATAAAAAAATAATGTAAATATATATGTCGAGGTTTATTCTCGAAATTCTGTGATGTCGATAAGAAAGATGTATTTAGAATTAGAAGAATAAATTAATTTAGAAATGATTCATTGAATTGTTTAATTATTAAGCTTATGTCTTTAAAAATTTATATTTTGATTATTTTTATTTAAATAAACATTTTAAATAACTTAAAATTATCATAAAAATTGATTTAATTATTCGTTTTACTCGTTTAGAATTTCTCCTAATTATCAATTTCTTAATTAATTAATGATTTTTTTTATTTAATATAAATTAAATAAATAAAAATATTTTGGAGTATTTTATAATATTTCTTAAATAATTCAAATTTCATTTATTAACTTTAAAATGCAAATTGATATTTTTACATAGAAAATGAATAAATTTCATCGGAAATTCCAATCAAAAAGTCGAATAATAAATAAAGTTTACTTTATTTCTTAAAAATTGTAGGCCCTAAGTAAAATAAAATTGTTTTGAATTTCTGATTAAACAAAATATCGAAAAATATTTAATCAAATTTAATATTTGACGTCTGAAAATTATTAATTTCTTATATAAATTGCATAAATTTTACTTGAACTATTTCTATTTCAAAATTGAAATTCCTTTACTTTGAGATAAAAGATGCAAATACTTTTAATATAAGTTGTTAGAAAGGAAATTTATTTTTATTTAAAAATTATAAAATATAAGAATTTAATGAATATTATATCATCATAATTGATTTCAAAAGACAAGTATAGCTGTAGTATGCAGAGGAGAAGAGATATCGATCATATTTTAGCATCCTCTCTTCTATTCACAATACAAACTTAATTTTCTTAATTGATCGTGAAACAATATTTACTGTGATTCCAATCGAAATATATTTAATTTAAGTTTTCATTTTTATAATTTAGCAAATGCAAAAATAATTTTTGCATATAAATATAATCATTACTATAAAAAATTTTAGCGTTAAAGAAAATAATTTATGTATTCAATCCTTTCACCTTTCGTTTATTTATAAGTTCGCTGATTTTTTTCCAAAAATTTTCTAAATATTTCACTTAGAGAAGTGAAATTTCCAAAATTTATGATATTATATTATGATTAATGTATTAAAGATGCTGGAAAGAGTGTAGCATGCTTCCATCCATCTAGCATCAGTATATAAGATACTCTCCTTCCAGCATCCTTTTATCCGTTCAGCATCCAATATATATACAAGATACATTCCTTCCAGCATCCTTTTATCCTTAGCATCTAGTATATAAGATATATTCCTTCCAATATCTATCCAGCATCCTTAATCAATAAAAACGAACTTTTTCTGAAAAAAATTAAGCACAGTTGTTAGTAATTATCTTAAACAATATCTAGAAAATTTTCCGAATAATTCGTGTTTATAGATAAACTTTCACTTAATTTAACAAGAAAACATATTTAATTTTTTCCCGTAAAATTAAATAAAACTGCATTAAAATGAATGCGAATTAACATTATTTTTTATTTATAAAAACATTTTATTAGATAAATATTAACTTCATAAAAGATATAAAAACTAAACAGAAATTAATTAAAAATTAAAATCACATTTTTATACTAAAATTTCACTTCAAATATCTAAGATTTTATTCAATTTTATGATTAAAATTCTTTGGAAAAAATAATAAAATTATTTTTAATTCTAATTTTGAATATTTTATAAGAAAAAAAAAAATTAAAAAATAATCCTTGAAACACCTCTTAATAGAGAACTATTTATCTATTAATTAATGTTTTAAGATAGAAAATCTGCAGTTGATATTCGTGATTTTATATATGGAAAGAAATATCCTGATTAACTGACTTTTGGACCACCTCACCTA